GCTGGCTGTCAGTGGCAGCTGGCAACCCTATCATGAATCATACCTTTGTTGCAGCAACTGCAGCAAAATGTGGAATAAAGATCCATCTATCTCATTTTTATCTTTCCTTTACTCCACACAGGGTTCTGTCCTCCCAACAAACCTTTGAGGTAGGTTAGGCTGACAGTGAGTGGCTGGCCCAGGATTACCCAGTGAGCTTCCATGGTACAGCCGGGATTTGAACCTGGGTATCCCAGATCTTAGTCACACTGGCTTGCAAGATAACACTCGTGACACACAAGCAAAGACTCTTCAAAGCACAGTAACCGTTGTGTGATCATCATTCAGAATAATATTCTTCTGTCAGGTGCCAGTGGTGGTTATTTAAAGTGTTGTCACGGCAGGGACAGTGCAACTGACCTTGAGGTTCTCCAGAACATGAGTAGGATACGGAATGTAGTCCTGCCATCTTTTGAAGCATTCCCCATAGCTTCTGATGTTCCATGATGCATCTTTAAGAGCCGGAACAGTTGCCAAGAGGAGGCTTCCAAAAGCGGCCACTGTGTGTTGCGTTTTCCATATCCCAGCAGCTGCATCTTCAAGTGCTCACCATGTGGATCTATGCCATATTGCTGTAAGTCTTCATGCCACCACCGCAACTTCTACGGACATGGGGAATGTGGAGGTTCACAACAGGATGGCACTGGTCTGTGTAGTACATGTAGGCCAAGATAGGGATGACTCGTGATAGAGAAGCCTGCATTTGCCAGCAATGTTGTGGCCATCGTGGCATTCGCTCAGAATTTTAGGTCCAATTGACACATGAGTAGCATCAGTAGCTTTTTCATTACTCGATCGTTCTGTATTTGGTGACTTACAGCTGAATATGTGAAATGGAAGCATTGTGTTTCACTTCCATTTTACTTCTGTATCAGCTGTAGGTCATCACAGAGATAGATGGCTTTAAAAGGGGATTAGACAGATTCATTCAGGATAGGTCTGTCAGTGGCTAGTAGCCATGGTGACTAAAGGGAGCCTCCATATTCAGAGACAGTAAACCTTTGAATACCAGTGTCAGGAGGCAACATCGGGGAAGGCCTTGGGCTCTGTGCCCTGTTGTTGGACCTCCAGAGGAACAGGTTGGCCACTGCTTGAGACAGGGTGCTGAATTAGATGGACCAGTGATCCAGCAGGGGTCTTCTTATGTTCTTCTAATGTTCTTATAACAACATAAAATAAAAATATTTTAAAGTTCATTTATTGCAATCAATTTGGTGGCTAAGAAGTAAGCTATTGCTTTTCATCCAGCATGGTGTAGTGGTTAAGAGCGGTGGACTCTAATCTGGAGAACCGTGTTTCATTCCCCACTCCTCCACATGAAGCCTGCTGGGTGACCTTGGGCCAGTCACAGTTCTCTCGGAATTCTGTCAGCCCCACATACCTCACAAGGTACTTATGGGGAGAGGAAGAGAATGTGATTGTAAACTGCTTTGAGACTACTTAAGGTAGAAAAAAGTGGGGTATAAAAACCTACTCTTCTTCTTCCTTCAAGCACTCATTATAACAATTTATGACATGGGATGATTAAATACAGTATGAGATTTTGATAACTCTAGAGGAGTGGTCTTCAACCTTTCCAGACCCAGGACCTATCTTTTAACCTGCAGTGGCAGCATGGGACCCACTGACCTGTAAACACATGACAGAGAGTCTTGTGGTATCACAGTCACGTGACTGCAAATATTATTTTCTTTTTTAATTCAGTCAGCAAGTCATTTATGAAGTAAAAGTAAAGGCCACCCACAGGAGAAGTTCGTACTTGGAAAAGTGCTGGAACTCAAATAAATTTTAACAATCTGTGGCCAAGATCTGAATGTATAATATTTTGCCCTGAGAACTTTTTCTACTGTACCTGCTTTTATACATAAATATAGATTAAATATACTGGGTGACATGATCGAGGTTTATAAGATTATGCATGGGATAGAGCAGGTAGAGAAAGAGGTACTTTCCTCCCTTTCTCACAATATAAGAACTTGTGGGCATTCCATGAAATTGCTGAGCGGTCGGGTTAGAACGGATAAAAGGAAGTACTTCTTCACCCAAAGAGTGATTGACAAATGGAATTCACTGCCACAGGAAGTGGTGGCGGCTACAAGCATGGACGGCTTCAAAAGGGAATTAGATAAGCATATGGAGCAGAGGTCCATCAGTGGCTATTAGCCACAAGGTATAGATAGGGACTCTGGGGCTAGTATTTTTGGCCACTGTGTGACAGAGTGTTCGACTGGATGGGCCTTTGGCCTGATCCAACATTGGCGTCTCTTATGTTCTTAATAGAATAGAAACCAGAAAAATCAGTCTCCGGTTCAATAGACAGTCCTAAAACAAGCCTTCTTCTCTGCAAAGATCTCATTATTTAATGTCTGACTCACCTTCTTGAAAAGAAGGTGTTTGCTATATAACTGGTGGTGGTTGTGGAAAGTGCCATCAAGTTGTAGCCAACCTATGGTGACCCTGTAGGGTTTTCAAGGCAAGCAATGTTCAGTGGTGGTTTGCCACTGCCTGCCTATGCATAACAACCCTTGACTTCCTTGATGGTGGTCTCTCATCCAGTTACTGGCCAGGGCCAACCCGCGATCGGACGAGAGCAGGCTAGCCTGGGCCATTCAAGTCAGGGCTGCCACATAGCTATAACCAGTGAACGGGTAGGTCTATGTTTTGAATGGAAATTGTTTCCTCCTTTAGTGTAATAAATTAAAACACAGAAGTTCCATCCCTTTTGGAATTATACTAGCAAAAGATTTGCAAAGAACAGCAACCCCTCAAGCATCATTTTTTTTAAAAGACCTCTGCAGGTACACTGTCTTCTCCAAACGTTTTGTTAAAAGAGAGCTTACAAAACGTTGCAAAGAAGTGTGGTGCTCAAGCATGCTTAAGACATTGGATACTAAGGGGTCATAATGTGCAAGTAGATAAATAGGTACCACTTTGGTGGGAAGGTAACAGCATTCCGTGCGCCTGCTGAAGGTGCAGTATTTTCAGTCTTTTCCCAAGATGGATGCCTGGCTGAGGCTTTGTGTACTGTCATTCAAATAATACAGGATTATTCTCTTGCCTTGTTCATGCAGACTCCAACCGTTATAACTATAGTACCTCTAAATTACAGTCTTTACTTCGCATTGTAACAGGTTTATCCATAATTGTTTATGGTAAATACATTTGGGACATTTAACAGGGACTTACTTGTAAGCCAGTTTGGTGTAGTAGTTAAGTGCATGAACTCTAATCTGGGAGAACCAGGTTTGATTCCCCACTTCTCCACTTGCAGCTGCTGGATGACCTTGGGCAAGCCATAGTTCTGTCAGAGCTGTACTCTCAAGAGCAGTTCTCTCAGAGCTCTCTTAGCCACATCTTCCTCACAGGGTGTCTGTTGTGGGAAGGGAAAGGAGATTATAAACCACTCTGAGACTCCAAGTGAAGGGTGGGGTATAAATCCAATCTCTTTTTCTTCTCTTTTAAGATTTACAAAAGTTTGCATAATCGTTACTAGATTTTAATTCGTTTCATTAACTTTTTGATTTAGTTGCTACCCAGGAGTTCTTGGAACTCTGTAAGTGCAGCAGAAAATTTACAAGAACTCAGGTGAAGGATAGGCACCACAGACCTTGCCAATTTCAGTAATGCCCATCCTATGCTAGGCATGTAGAGTCAAAACTAAGGACACATTCACATTGGTTTGATTCTTTGATCAACAAGTTCTCACAGTGGGAGAAAACGGAAGGGGCGGGGAGTTGTGGATGCGGTGGATTACTTTTGATCACCACATCCACAGTGATCTAGGAATTTCCCCAATCCCTTTACCATAAAGATTTGAAAAATTACTAGAGCTTCATAGTGACATCAGTTCTCGGTCTTCACCAAGAAGTGACATTACTGCATCGTGTGGCACTCCCCCCTCCCCATGCCCTGTCCCCAAATTCTGCACCTGGCAACCTTATTCTGACCGTATAGATTGATGGTCACTACATCTACAATGTAGGAACTCAAAAATGGTTGGGGGGAAATGGCCAAGCCAGATAAAACTTACTGTCATCACTGATGGAAATAAAAGGAGAGGAATCCTTTCACCATTGAGAATTGTAAGTCTAGTTTGGTATAGTATTATCTTAGAATGGACATGAGATTATATGAAAGTTGTGTCTGTGGTATCTGATACGTAGTGTCATTTGCACATCAGATATCACTCATCAGATGATGAACATAAATGTGTGGACCATCTCTGAGATTTCACAGGGCGATGGATAATGCTACTGTGCATAATGTCTGTCCCTCAGTCCATTAGTCTCATGCTCACACACACTTTATTGTTAGAGAAGTCACGGTATTGCCCTGCCCCCATGGTTCCATAAAATGACATCGCTTGGACCACAGTGCAGATTTTTTTCCAGCCCTTGAAGCTAGTTGACTGAACCAGAATTCCTAATGGCTTCAGTAACGTTTCCACTTTGGGCTCTTCTCTTTTCATTGCATGACAGCCTACTACTAACTAGTTCAATGGCTGTATCTTTTGCTTGGACAGATAATGCAGCTGTACTCCCATGGGTGGGAAAGCATGGTGGGTCAGCAAACATTAGAGTTTAAAGCATGTGCTGTGGGTTTTGTTTTTGTTTCGTATTTTTTCATGTGTGTGTGCGTGTGACTGTGTGTGTGTGTGACTGTGCACCTGAAAGTCATGGCAACCTCTGGTGACTCACTGTGTGTGTACCGGGAAGTCATGGCGACCTCTGGTGACTGACCTCTACTGGGGGCCTGGAGGATATTCAGAGAGGTGGCTGAATAAAGCCTGCCCCCACTTCCCGACTGCTCCTATTGCAAGGCAGTCCCCCATCCAGAGTCGACCCTGCTTAGCTTCTGAGATCTGATGAGATCAAGCTTGCCTGGGCTATCCAGGTCAGGGCAAAGTATGTGCTGTTTTAATACACTGAAAATCATTCTCTTTTTCTTCCTTCCCCTTTCAGTTTGACCCCGAAAACACTGGCTACATCAGCACAGAGAAATTTCGAAACCTCCTCCAAAGCCATGGCTCTGAATTGGATCCACACAAGCTAGAAGTGCTCTTGGCCTTAGCTGACAATAATTCTGATGGGAAGATCTGTTACCAAGACTTTGTCAACTTGGTAAGTGGTTCAGAGTAGACAGTCATCTTTCTAGTTTTTGTGGGTCCTCAGTCAAAAGACTACCACCAAAATCCCACCTCCGCTATTCTGATTTTCTCCTCCTTCTTCAACTTCTACTGGATTCCTCTCAGCACACAGCTGCGTACTAGGGAGAAATGATTAGCCTGGAAAGTGTTTTGCCTCCAAAGTTAAACTCAGTTCAAATGGGATAGAGATTGTCCCTTTAAACCTAATGAAACAGCTGTTTTTGCTTCTCTGGGCCCAGCGACTAGATCTTTCATGCCAGCCATGTTGATTGGAGGATGTCATGATCCTCCTGGATGATTGCTTTGAACTGAACTTACCCAACTTAAAATGTTCTGCCAAAAATGTTACGTTTTCAGAGGAAATACATTTCTTTGTTTCATTCCCACAGATTCCCATATTTTAAAAATGTTCTTTGCCTTTGCTGGTGTGACCCTTGGGTCAGTTATAAGTTCTCTCAGAACTGTTCTCTCAAGAGCAGTTCCCGAAAGAGCTCTCTCAGCCCCACCTACCTCACAGGGTGTCTGTTGTGGGGAGGGGAAGGAACAGGAGATTGTAAGCAGCTCTGAGACTCCTTCAGGTAGTGAAGGGCAGGATATAAACTCAATCTCTTCTTCTTCTTGTCTTCTTTTCATTACATTCTTCATGCTTACAGTGGTATCTAAAGACTTTCTTTGGACTTTAAGGGAGGCTTGGTAGCAAACCCCCCCCCCATCTTGAGAGAATCTTAACAGTTGTGGTTATCCCTCACATTAACTCCTTTGTATACTAAGGAACAGTTGAGTATCTAAGTTTCTACCACGTACACTTGCATAACCATTCTGATATTATTTTATGTACCCTTAACCAGTCCATTAATTATGCTTATATCCTGCTCTTCTTTTAGAAAGCTCAGAGCTCCTTACCTCAGGCATCCAGTTGTTTCTACATGTGGCTCATTTTAAATGCATGTGCCTCAGGCTTTGGCATTTGTGGCCCACAGCTGAATGTTTCCGTAACCTACTGTTCTCTTTCTGTCTGTTGCTGTTCATATTTTCGTGAGTGAAAATGAGGGGAATGGAGAAGAAGAGCGGCTGGGGGAGGAAGGAAACCAGACAGGGACACAAAATAAGATATGATATATAAATATATATACACATATATTACACATTATACATTGTCCAGAGACACCCGTGGTGCCTTCTGCTCCAGACCTCCCCACCCAGACCCAGCTATCTTCCTTACCTGGGAAAGCTGCTGAGCTGGGAGGAGGTCAGGCGAAGAGGAGAGTGGCAGCACCGTGCTTAGCAATGGCGGGGAAGGGCGGGCTACTGGCCAATTGGGCCCCACAGGCACAGGAGCCACTGTGGGAGCCCAAAGAAACTCTCATTCCACCCACCCTGCCTCATTCATGAGAGAGGCGGGCTAGACGGCAGGGGAAGGTTGGAGACAGCAGGGACAAGCAGGTGGAAGTGAACCTGGTTCATCAGAAAGCAGGAAGGCAACTGGAAGCAACTCCCAGTGAAGAGGGAGATTTCAAAGATGGCCTGGGTGTGGCTGGATATGCAGGGTCAGATCGGGACTGGGGATCTAGGGAGGAGCTTCAACTGACTCATATTGGGCTACCGGAGGCACAGATGGGAGAGGGGAACCAAAGGGGCAGGGCCAGGAAGAGGCCCTGTTGGGTTAGGGATGATGAGGGGGTGGAGCAACCTTCCTTTAAATAAAGGAGCTTACAAAAGGCCTAGGAGGAAGTGGGAGGAGGGGTTCTGAGCTCAGGGAACCTTCCAGCCAGGGTAAGGGCATTATTTGGAGTATACTTATCCTCCCCCTTTTACCCATTCTGAGGCCAGAAAAGCTCCAGAAGGATGGAAGACACCACGGTGGAGGGCAGGCAAGTGAAGCCCATCAATTAATTGCCTTGCATATATATAAATGAATGATCTGACAATGGAGTCTAAGACTCAGTCATGTGTGTAAAAAAACTTGATGATTATGGTTTTTAAGGCTGCCTAGACTGTGACAGCAGCCATGAAATTAAAAGACACCTGCTCCTTGGGAGGAAAGCGATGGCGAACCTAAACAGCAAGATAAAAAGTAGAGACATCACCCTGCCAACAAAAGTCCGCATGGTCAAAGCAATGGTATTCTCAGTAGTCATGTATGGCTGCGAGAGTTGGACTATAAGGAAGGCCAAGCGCCGAAGAATAGATTCTTTTGAACTATGGTTCTGGAGAAGGCTCTTGAGAGTCCCTTGGACTGCAAGGAGATCAAACCAGTCAATCCTAAAAGAAACCAACCCTGACTGTTCCCTGGAAGGCCAGATACTGAAACTGAAGCTCAAATACTTTGGCCACCAAATGAGAAGGGAGCACTCACTGGAAAAGACCCTGATGCTGGGAAAGATTGAAGGTCAAAGAAGACAGGGACGGCAAAGGATGAGATTGTTAGACAGTGTCATCGATGCAACGAACATGAAATTGAGCAACCTTCAGAGGACGGCAGAAGACAGGAAGGCCTGGCGTGATCTGGTCCATGGGGTCGCGAAGAGTTGGACTCAACTGTGCGACTGAACAACAAAAGATCTTCTTTGTGGTCTCTGTGCATCACACCTCTGGGATATAGTGCTCCTGCACCGACCTCGATCGGTTCCTCTTGAAAGCGAAAGGGATTTTTGCGCCCGCTCCCCACTGCGCATGACCAAGGGAGGAGCATGACAATCCCGCCAGTTCTCTTCTGACTGCCATGCTGGTAGGATCTTCTCCACTTTGGTCAGTAAAAAAAATTGGGCTTTTAGGCCTATTCCTCGTTTTTTCTTTGAAGTTTAATCGTTTTCTTCTTGTTTATTTTTGCTAAGTGAAAGGACTTTGTTTCTACGGATTTATTTCTTTTTGGACTCTGTCATGTGTTTCCCCCCCTCTCCCGGCCTATGGCCAAGAGGTGGGGTTTCTTTAAACGGTGCCTTAAGTGCGGCAGCAAGATCGCCCCCCAGACGGATACTTGCTTTGTTTTTTGTGCCTCGGGGAATCCCACCGAGTGAACTCTTGTGCTCATTGTGTGAAGTTTTCGAAGCAGACGTTGCACTTTTGGAGTTAGCGTTTTCACCGATGTCGTCACAGGACACTTCAGGGCATGCGTCAATGTCGACTGCTGCCACGGCATCGATGTCTGCGCTGTCCCCGATATCGACTCACGTAGATGTCGACCACCTGATGCTGAAATGTTCGGCCCAGACATCTCAGTCCTTAGCCAATACTCCCTCCAAAAAATGCAGGGAAGGCAAGGATGGTCAGCCAGTCAAGCATAAAAAGCATACGAAAACTCCCCCTGTGCAATCTCCGTTGATCCCTCGGAGGGCCATGGAATTGATTCTTTCGGGGGCTGCTTAACTTGACTCTCAGTGCCAACAGCAGCCACAAGGTGTACCTTGGTCGCCTTCGCTGCGTCCTGTTCAGCTCACAGACTCTGAGCATGATATGGACTTGACACAGATCTCCCGGTCTTCCAGTGTCAAATGTCTGTACTCAGACCGCGGAGCCGATGCATTTGTCCGGCCTTCATAGCTCCGTCCTGATGATCGAGACCGACCATCGGCACCAATCCATCTGCCACCAGCTCCCTCCTGGGACCAACAGCAGTGGCAATACATGTATGGAGCCTATGCATTTACAGGCAGTATCCCGTGGGTCCCACCCCAACCAGTGGAGTGGGACTGTCAGTCTACCTCTTCATGCATCTCCCGGTATCGATATCCTCCATCAACACTGGAGTTTGCGAGGCCCCATCTGTCGAGAGCAACGGGCAAACTTCCCAAGCCGTCGTACCCGACAGTTCCAAAGTTTAAAGAACCATCGAACCCGATTCCATCAATACCGATGCTACCTATGTCATTTTCCGAGCCGACTGAGTGCTCTGCCTCTTCAGACGCCTCCTCCCAATCAGGGGATGAAAACCCCGATCCTCCAATGGAACCCTCACTGCCTCAACAAGTGGGCGATGATCTTCCAATCTCCCCTTCAGGAGACTTGAAATCTTATGGAGATTTCATCAAGCGGATGGCTAACACGCTCGCTCTTTCTACGGTACAGCCCCCACCTACTGTAGCAGACTCTGTGTTTGATATTGTCCAGATGGACATTTCTACACCAATTGCCTCCTTCAGGCGGCTTAAGTCCCATGGTCTCACCCGGCATCTACACCCGTCTCGAGCCGGAGGGTAGATCGTATGTATAAGGGTGCTGAATTTCTGTTTACCCACCCTAAACCTAATTCTGTCATAGTCACTTCTTCCTCCAAGGGCAGATGCAGTCATTTCACCCCCTCTGAGAAAGAAGGAAGGAAACTTGATTTGTTTGGAAGGAAATTTTATTCTGCAGGAGCCCTTGGCATCAAGACCTCAAACTATACAGCATGTATGGGGAGATATCAGTTTGTTCTTTGGGAGCAGATGTCTGAATTCATTGCAACCCTCCCTGAGGACGCTAACCGCCAGGCTCGCAGGATTCAGAAGGAGGGAATGCTTTTGGCTAAGCATCAGCTCAGTGCAGCTAAGCACACATTGGATGCGGCCGCCAAAACGCTGACTTCAGCACTTACCCTCTGATGTCACACCTGGTTGCATTCTACTGCCCTACCGCAGGACACCAGGACTCTCATTGAGGACCTTCCATTCGAAGGTGAGGGCCTTTTCGGTGCCACGACTGATAACGGTCCTGCAAGACCTAGACAAAAGTATAAAGACGTCACGGAATTTAGGTGTCACGTCGGCTCCTAAACTATCCCAAGCGAAATCCTGGAACAAGCCATGGTCTTGCAGATCCTCTTTTAAGTTGTCCCCGGAAGCACAGTGGCAACGCTCACCCACCATGGCTTCCTACCCTTATGGGCACAAACCAAAATTCTCATCTGTCTCTCAGCCTAAGGCTAAAACTCCGAAAGCTTCCAAGCAGAGCCTTTGACTCCTGTCGTCCCACCCCTACCTGCCTCTCTCCCTACTT